TCCCACCCCCGGCGGTGGGGCGTTGCATGGAGTTGTTGGAGACGTTGATCGCGGAGACAACGCGGCAATGGCAGATGCTCGACGCCTTTTTTGAGCAACGCGCGCAGCGAGGCGGCGGGGGAGGGGAATCGATCGGGGAGGACGTCCCCCCGCTTCCACCCCCGCCACACGAGCCGCATTTCATGGTGCTGATTCAACCGCTTCTCGGGTTTCATCACCTCTTGAATCGTCAGGAAGCGATTCACCACAACCTCGATGACGCCTGTCAGGCGATCCTCGAGTGGAATTGCTTCGCCGCCCTCGACGGGGTGTTGCGGAAACACGAGAATTTGTTGGCGGCGATCCCAGACCCTTGCGAGAGCTCAACAGGAGAAGGGGGGGCCGAGGGCGCATCGCGTGGGGAAATTCCCCCTCCAGGGCAGGAAGCGCTCTTCGTCGAAGGCGAGCAAATCCATCCTTCCCCACTCGTGGTCGTGGAAAAGGAGCGGCATCGGTTGCGAGAAACGCTGAAAGAACTCTTTGTCGCCGCTGCGATTCGGTTTTATTTCACCCACGATAATCCCATTTGTGGGGGGTTGTTATCGGATCTGGAGGCGGCTTTGAGCGCACCGGAGCAGGAAGGGGCGGTGGCCGCCACGTCCGCGAAGTTAAAGCGCATGGTCGACGTTCACGCCGTGATGGCGGTGTTGCATAACTTATACAACCTTATCGCCTCGACTGGAGGGCTTCCAAAGCTCCCGTTGTTGCCCGCCTTAAACGACCCCTCTGAAAGGGAAAAACTGCAGCAGCACGTTGTCACGCGCGTCCTCGAGGTTTACGCGTTTTTGTATGCGGTGTTGGAACATAAACTTCGCGATGCTTCGAGTAGCGAATCGTCGATCCATTCGGTGGTGAAGTTAAACGACGAAGAGGCCTCGATGTTCGCGGATATGGATCCCGCAAAATTGCGGATGCTTATGGATGCATAGTTTGTCGTACGTTGCTGAATTGGTCTGGTTGTTCGATTTCTTCCCTCTCCTCTTTTCCCCACTCCTTGAATGGAAATACTGAATCGCTGGATTTAGTATGGGAGCTGCGATGATAACGATTGGTTAGGTGCAAAAACGTGCCAAACGCTTTGAATATGATTAGGTCCAGTGCGAGTTGATCAGATAGAATGAAAGTCAAAATGGGCTCTCTCCTTCTCTAAACAATACATATATGTATGTACACACTGTTTTTTATGGTAGCAGTGGTGGTGCTGGTATTTTCTTTAAATATGTCCTTTCACATTACTTTCATTATTTTAACGCGACAGTTGATTAAATTGGGTGTCTTTTCGATATCCAGCTTCATTTAGCAAAGGAGGTGGATTAGGTGTTGCCTTTTTCAAGTACTATCGAATTAAAAAAAAAATGGTGTTTTACGCCTTCGTTCTTGTCATGAAGCCTCGCCAGCGTAGATTCACTTCTCAGGCGCTGCGTGAGATCGCTATGTCTATCTACAACAACGGCGGTTTGATTCGCAAGCTTAGCAATGAGGGGATCATGCGCCCGTACAGCAAGTTTCGCGATGTGGATAACAGCCCGATCACGTATGCGCGCTACGTCACGATCCAGGTGGATATGGGAGAGGAGGAGATGCAAAAAGTGGAGAGGCTCATGCGGGAACATGCCGATGTGAATATTCTTCTGCGTCTGAACAATTTAGAAAAGCCAATTGGCGTCAAGAACAATTCGAAAAACGCCGCGAATTTCTTCCCATTAGATACGTTTTCGAGGATGGAGGAGGAAATAAACTGGCCGCCACAGGTCTCCGGTGATGTTTATGAGCAACTTGATATGAACTGGAAGGAGTTCTCACGTACGCGGTGGTCTAATTTCTTGAGAAACTAAATCCTTTCGCCACCATTCGACAAAACTCCAGGGTTTTGCGGCTGCACGCAGATCAACGAAGCTGTGAGAAATAACTGCATGTTGCGATCTTACTATTCCTTTATTGGAGGGGGGGATAAAGAACTGAAAATAATATGAAGCTGTGCGCTATGTTCTGAAGGAACATCTCCACCCTGTGAAATGCGTTTCTTAATTGTTTATCTACCTCTGTTATTCATTACTGTCATAGGCTCTGTTACTATAGCAAAAGCACACTTTAGATATTAAGTTTCTACGTTGAACGACGCCGTTCCCGTTTCGATACGTGCGCTCGAGTTCACCTGTTTATGCGTCTGGACTAAACGATGAATCTGCTCGACAGTGAAACCCCTGAGCCCAGGAAGTCGACCCTTACGAGTGAACTGACGAAATTGCGGAAAGAAATAGCGGAGGAGGAGTCCAAACTGGGAGTGCTGGAGGATGCCGTGGAGACGTACAGCGCGAACCTCACCTGCTTACATAACGAGTACGCCTCAAATGTGAGCCACGTTGTGAGCTTCTACGAGATCCAACTCCGCCCCTTTCAGCAGGTCGTGTACGCCGCGGACGAGCAGCAGAGCCTGATTCAGATGCAAATTGACTGGCTAGAGAAGAAGATCGTCTTGCAAGAGAAGTGCACGCGGGAGGGGCAGTTTCTCGAGGCGCGCGATATGCGCCCCGCCGCGGAGGCGCTTCTCAAGCACGCCCGCCAGCAACTCCTCCGCAGCTACGCGGCGATCCAGGAGTGCCCGAAGAAGGATCTTATCACGATGCGCAACTACGAATGCCCGCCGGATGAGAGCATCGAAACGATGCGGATGGTGATGCGTCTCCGTGGGGAGGAGAACTTCTCCTGGACCGCCTCCCAGGTCTACATGACGGAGAACTACTTCACCGGGTTCTTCATCGCACGGTCGGAGACGCTGTTGAAGACGTTCGACCTCCTCCCAGAGGATCGGATGCTCGCGTTGGAGGCGTTTTGTCGGAATCCCGCGCATGACGTGCGTGCGCTTTTTCGCTTGAGTACGCCGATTGGCTGCCTAGGGCAATGGCTGCGCGCGATTCGTGATCACTACCGCGTGAAACTCGTCACGGCGCCGGTGCTCTTGACGGATACCTCGCTCCAGCACACCGAGGAGGTGCGGGAGTTCCTCGCTTACTGCACCTTTGGCGCGCAAAAAGATCAATTCACCGCGGAGGAAACGGAGGTTCCCCCCACGGCAGGGGCCTCCGAGGAGCTCCCGACGGAGGCTGTAGCGGATGGCGTGGGCGGCGAGCCCGCCGCGGACGCGGAGGAGAATCCGGCAAAGCAGCGGCTGGAGCGGCAGGCGCGGGAGATGATGGAGGCGTACCGGGGGACAAAAAAACGCCTCGCGCAGTTCACGCAGCCCGTGGTGGTGAATCAAGTCGCCGTGCGCAAACTCCGGCATCACCTCAATTTTATCAAGGAAAATAGTCGCGAGGCGCGGGAATCGATGGAAACCATCGAGCGCGAGGCCATGGGTAAGCTGGCGGAATTACGGAAAAAGTACGATGGAACGATGGTCCCACTGGAAGGGAAACTCGAAAAGAAGGTGGGTGATTTTGTGAAAGTCCTCCATGGCGAACCATTGGAAAATTCATGTAGTTAGGATAAAATTGTGTGCGTAAAAAAGAGCAGGCAGGGGGGAGAGGACCCCTTCGGAATCGGCGTGCTTATCTCTACTCTTGAGCTTTGAACGCAGTCTATGTAAATGACCTACCTATCTCCTCTGTTCAGGATTCCGTTATGGGAACCATTAGCTGCTTTCAGGAGGAAGAGAGGTGTCCTATTGCTTATATGTAAAACTTCAGAAATGTAGTAGGATATTTAGAAGAACCAATTCAACAATCCACGTCAGTCAGAATGTCGTGTTTGATTTAAGAGAGGATATATATATATATATATATACATTTCTGTAACAAACATGTCTTTAGAATTACAGCTATTGACTCATTTTCATTATTTCTCATCAACCCTTTGGCACTTCAAGGTAACTTATAGGCACAAAATAAAACTACGAGCCTGGATCGTTGCGAATGAAAAGGAAAGGCGAGGGGCCTGGATACAGCGGGATCTATACTGCCGAAACCTTTCTCAACGCCTTTGCAGGGCTGCTTGTGGCCCATCCCCACGTGCATACCGTGCGGCTTCAACCGAGCGATCGCCCCCTGTCGCATCCCATCCAACGCGAGCGGTGGGAGGGCCCCTCCGCCGCGAGGCGGCTTCC